CCATTAGGATCGAATGCACAAACCATACCAGACACATTTTGAACTAGAGATGGGCACGGGCCGGGGACCACTGTCTCCAGCCTCGGCCCGAAAGCCTGAGGGGATTCCCCGGTCCCGGCTCAAAGCCCGTTCGGGGAATCCCCGAAAAAAGCCCTCTTCCCAAATGGGGAATCCTAAATTCCCCGTTTGGGTTTTTTTTTTTTTAATTCCTTAATTTTATACTTTTATTATTCTTTTCTCCCAATTATATATACCAACAAAAAAAAAAAAAAAATTAAATATATAATATACATATTAAACATAAAGACCATATATCATTAAAAAAAAAAAAATTAAATCTATAATGTAGATATTAAATATAAAAACCATCATACTAAATTGATCATATTAAATATATAATATATACCATATATAATATATAATATATAATGTCGAATGTATAACTTTTGTTTTATAGCATTATCATATTATGTATAATATATATATATATATATAAAATATGTGGGCAGGGGATAAGGCGGGGCAAAGCCAATCTTGGCCTCGGCCCGTCCCCGAATTTCGGGGGCCAATATTGGGCCCAATCCCGGCTCGCAGCCCGAAATTTTCAGGGAAAATCCACCCCATTCGAGCCGGATCCCCGTGGGGGCAGGCTTTGTGGCCATCCCTATTTTGAACCTCTCTGAAGAGGTATACCCACCTTCTTCTAACCTCTCCTCTAAATCGTGTCCTATAATAGACGCTTTCCCCCTTAAAACCTTTCTAGCCAAGTTTTCAGCTGCCCTACTTTTCTTTATTCTTTTTTGCTCTACCGCATATGGTAATTCCTCACATCTTAAGCCTGTCATCAAGGCATATTCCATTATCCCAAAACGTAGTGGCTTTCCATCCACCACGAACCATTTTTTTTTTTTTTTTGCTTTTAACTGAGTGTAGCAACATATAATGCACTCATTGCCCTCAGAATGCTTTTTTCCATTTTTCTCCAATGTTCATAAAATGACCAAAATAACTTTCTTTGAATTGATCTAAACCCTTCTTTTGTTCCCGTAAAATATCCATTATTCTCATAAAAACTTGCCAACTCGACCTAACTGTCACCCTTACGGAGAAGTACGGTACCTTATCACTTACAACCTCTAACCCATAGTCTTTATAGTTTATGCTTCGAAAAATCTGCATAATCGATATAAACTAAATATCAGCAAAAAAAGAAACCAAAACAACTAATAGGCTGCCAACATACTTTGTAAACAAAGAAAAAGTATCATGCAATGAACTTTTCAACTAATCTTTTCAAGTGTATGAGAAAAAAAGAAAGAGCATCATACAATGTAAATGAACATAAAAACCATACTGCATAGCTCATTACTAATCCTGTCATCGCAACAGTTAACAACTCAAAACACATTTAAAGCATCACTAAACTAAAACTCAACCGAAGCATCAATTGAAAAGCAAGCATTTAACACTTCTAACACAACAAACAAACTTAGTCTTCCACTTAATAATTTTACCTCCACCACCATCATCAACAACATCCATTCATTCATAGTTACAAACTAATAATCTAAACAATCACTCAATTAAAACCTCACCAACGTATGAATTAAAAAACTTTCATTTCACACTTCAAGCACAACTAACAAACATTAGTATCACACTGTAAACCCCGCGTTATTATTCCGATGCCCTAAGGTATGAAATTTACCTTTCAAGTAATTTTCTTTTTTTGAATGGAAGGGTAAAATGGTCAATTTACATGTATTTCGAGATGTGGCCATTATAAAGTGTAAGGGGTGATGTCATTGAAGAGAAATGAGGGTAGAATGGTCATAAAGTTGATTGATATGGTTAAATGGCGTAAACGGTAACCAAGGGTATAATGGTCTTTCATACAAATCTATATGTAATAAGTATCCATAAAAGTGCACCAAGAGTAAGTTAGTCATTTTGCTAATGGGTTTTCTTAATTTTTAAGTGTTTTAAAGAAGTCAAATGGCATTAAATGAGTGCTAATCTTTATGTTGTGGTAAAAATGACCAAAACACCCTTATATGAAAAATTTATGCCGAATGACCCTTATATCTAACTTTTATTGACCAATCACATTAGAGCAACAATGGAATAAATATTTACAAGGTTTAAAGAGAGAGAAGTCGGCCTTGTACACCCCAAACATATCATCTTCTTCTTCATCTCTCAAATCCACCATAAAAGCCACTAATCCAAGCATTTTATTCTCAAATTTTCATAGGATTTCAAGTTGATTTTCAAAGGAGATCACCATCCACACTTAAAGAACTTCAATTTCAGAGTTTAAGGTGAGTTTCAAAACCCTAGTTGTTCTGATCTTTTAGTTAAAAGAGAAATTCATAAGTGGTTATGTGTATAAGGTAGAAAGGGTGAACCTTTGGAGCTAAGGAGGAGTGTCTTTGTGCTTTGAATACTAAGGTAAGGAAAAAAAATCTCCCTTATGATTACAATTGATAACACCTAGGGTTTATGGAACTTACATTTATTTATGTTAATATGAGTGTGATGCTATGTTTTGGTTATGGATTGTTTAAATGGGTGTGTTGATTGGTGTATGTGTGCATATGGAGGATGATTATGCCAATTAAGAGATTTGTAGTTGGACGATGTTTTGGCACTTTTTGGTTCTGTAAAAAGGGATGTTTTTATGGCCTTTTATACTTAGAATGACATGGCAAATGATGTGAATGTGCAAATGAAGGTGACGTGGTTAAAATGAATAGAATTCGGATTTGGCTTTTTAGGACTTATACTGTACATGCTTCACTGAATCAGTCATAACTGAAGTTATAGAAGTCCGATTGAGTTGATTCTTGAAGTGTTAAAAAGTGGAGACATATACCTAAAACTTTTATGTTTTAGTCAAAAATCAATTCGAATTGGAAGATAAGGGAAAAATTGCTTGAAAAGTGACAAACTATATGGCATCCACCTTCTTCATGGAAATTCCCAATTGTTTCTAATTCTAATAAACCCCTGAATAATCTTACTACTGAAATTCCTTGTATTGTATGAGAAATTGAATGAATTAAGTTAAGAAGTTTAGTAGGAGAATATAGTATGATTGAGCATGGGATATGTTAGTCCATATGTTAGCATTCATAATGGTAATGCATAAAGCTTATTTAGTTGTCTTATGAAAAATTTATGAAATGTTAAAGAATGAATTCCATGAGTCTCTTGAGGTATAAACCAAGATCAGAGGAATGGAATTCTTATGGAAACCATGAGTCCTTTGAGGTGAAGACCAAGAACAAGGTAATGGTTCAAATGAATCTGAGTGGATAACAAAGACTAATGAAACCATCAAGTATAAAGACAAAAGAAATAAGCATGCCATGTACATGAATATTTCATAAGTCATATATGTTCTATGTTATATTATGTATGGTTATGTTATGACTTATGTTTATGAGAAATGTCCAAAGTGTATAATATATTTTATGAACTTGTTATGTCAAAGAATGAAGATTATGTTTTGTAGGTAGGGAAGGTCCTAAGTAATATATTTGTATAATGAACATTAATAGTTTTTAAATGGCCATATTCCTTACTGAGCGATTAGCGCTCATCCCACGAAATGTTTTAAAATGTTTTGTAGGTAAGGATTAAGACATGAAGCTGGGAGAGGATTCTGGACGCTATGAGCATGAAAGGATGTTTTAATTATGACTATTGAATGGTTTTGCTAGTATTTAGTGTTGTAATTATGATTATATCTCATAATGTAGTAAATATGTCCATGTTATTATGGAGTATATATGTTTGCGTTAATAAAGGAAATACTTGGCTAGGGAGGGGTTGTACACACACATAACAACATTAACATAACACCTACACCACCATTACACGTTCATTCATAGCATACAAATTCATAAGATCACTAATTTAAGGATCACCACAATTAAGACCATTATCCCCACAACTCAAAAAACACACATCCAAATAATCACCAAAGCTAAAACCCTACCAACATATGAAGTAAACACTTTGCAATTTAACACTTCTAAGACAACAATCATAGCCAGCCCTGCAAATGCAAGCCCTACAGGGCTGGCCTTACATAGCGCTGTGCGTGGCCAGCCTTGCCAATATGCAGGGTAGCCTTCCAACCCCTCTATTCCGCCACCTCCTGCCATCCCCAACACACCAAATTCCCAGAAACAACATCTCTATGGCCTCCCATACCTTCCCCCATCCTTTGGAACCCAAACAAAGCCACTCCACCAATGTCTGCCAACTGCTTGACAAAATGCCACAACCACCATAAAAATAAAACCAACTACATCTTCCCCAAATTCGCACAAATCAATCCATTTTCTCATCCAATTCAAAAAAACAAGTAAAAAACGTACCCTTTCTTCACTGGCGTCTTCCTCCTCACTTGAATTCTCATCGGCGTCCTCCTTTTCAAAACCGTTTTCTGATTTTTCTTTCTATTCTTGTGCCGCCGTTGTCTCCTCTGCCTCTAGACCACCTTCACTCATCGGATGATCCACCGTAGTGTCTTCTTCGACAACCTTTGAACTGTTAGTGCCGCCAGAGTTTAGGATTCAAAGTGGGGTTGGGTTTTCCTCTTCTTTGTGAATTTCATCCATGGTTTTGTGTAAGGAAGCTTTATGATTGAGCCGGAATTTATGCACTGTAGTCACCGGAAATCACAGAGAAATGAATAGTATTCATTGGTCGTTTTTTGAGTATATGGCTCGATTAAGCGATTTTGAAGGGTGGGGGCTCGTTTTCAAATTTCAAAATTTAAACAACTTTTGTTAATTATGATTTTACCTACATATGTTTAAATCTTTTTAGTTTAACCAATTTTACATGTTTAATGAATGTTAAATGTGCCCCATCAACTTTTCTAAATTAAAAAAAATTCAAAAATATTTTTGGGTCATTTTTTTAAATGCAAACTTGGGATGTCGGGGAGTTAAATTTCCTTCAAAACGAAAGACATAGGAAGCTTCTTCTCTTTTGACTTATTTCTCAGCTCCCATTCTTCTCAACTCTCAAAATATTTTTGGGTCATTTTTTTAAATGCAAACTTGATTTACAGTTATTTTCAATTTCAAATAGCAAGAAATGGGGCTGGAGATCTTGGACCCAAACACTTGCATAAGAGGATGCTGTAGCAGCATTTCAATCCCTCTTCATCTTCCTCCTTCTTCCTACACTCTCCTCTCCCCAATTGCCAGAGGTAAGCTTAACTTTAACCTTAACCTTAACCTTAATTATCCGGTTCTCGTCTTGTTTGTTTTCTTATTGCTTTTGAGTTGAATGATTTGTCTGTACAGGAGCGGAGAGTGTTGTGTACGAAGCTGCTTTGGATGGAAGAAAAGTTGCTGTCAAGAAACCAATTTTATCTACTTCTGAAGACTTAGACAAGTTCCATAAGGAGTTGCAACTCTTATGGTTCTTTTACTTTCTCTAGCTTTTTAGTTTTTTGGGTTTTTATAATTTATTTTATAAATCTTTTTAATGGCTTAAATGTTTGTTTGTTGGTTTTGATTAGCAAGTTGGATCATCCGGGATTGGCCAAAATGGTGGCGGCGCACGCAAAGCCGCCCAATTATATGTTTTTCTTTGAGTTCTACGAGTCTCGCAATCTTTCAGAGAAATTGCACGTGGAGGAGTGGAGTCCGAGTGTTGATCAGGTGCTCATGATTGCAGTTCAGTTAGGTATAATTTTAACTATCTTTGAATTCTTTTTCAAATTCATTATATTTGTTAAAATGTAGTTTAGATAGTGAGTGACAAATAAGCTAAGTCATGATTTTGCATGGGTGATGAAAATTGGGTTTAAATCAAGATAATTCAGAATGTATGAGAATTTATTGTGATTCAGATTGATTAGAAAATCATTTTCAACAGAAAACAAAGCAGAAATGAGAGAAAATTGATTTAAATTTTAAAGTATCAAATCCAAATTTTTAATTTTTTATTTAGTGCGGTTCTAACTGATCCCATCATGGGTGATGAAAATTGGGTTTAAATCAAGATAATTCAGAATGTATGAGAATTTATTGTGGTTCAGATTGATTAGAAATCATTTTCAACAGAAAGCAGAGCAGAAATGAGAGAAAATGGATTTAAAGTATCAAATCCAAATTTTTAAATTTTAATTTGGTGCGGTTCTAACCGATCCCATCGCTCAGTCTATTGGAATAAAAGAAAGAAATTAGTAACATTCCTCGGTGGTTCACAAAATTACTTTCTAATTTAGACAAAAAGGGGAGCTAAAATGAAGAAAACTGGAGGGTCGTGGAATAGTTTAGAAACGCCAAACAGGTATTGATTTTTACTATAGAGCTTCCTTACTGAGGCCATTAAATGCCTTTAACATGTTAACTTTGTATGTTATTGGATTTTAGATTGATTCGAAGAACAAATGAAATTCTTTATCTTATAAAATAGTTGATAAGAAAACACGTGATGTGGAAAAATTGGAATGACCAAAATGTAGTTACCTTAAGTACGCTGGCGTAATGGGGGCTGTGGTAATTTGCTTGCTCATTGTTGAAAATTCAGCTTGGAGTTGGCAGGTCTCTCTTTACTTGTGCAATTGTGCCGAACGTCTTGTAGTCCCTGAGTATATGTTAAATAAATGACAGTTTGTGTAATCTCAGATGGCACTACGTTTTCATTTTAGCTTATAGATGCTTCTCTTTCCTGTTAATTAAAGGTTTATTCATGTTTATGTGGGATGACACAACATTGTTTGCCCTTTCCCTCTTACAGCAAAGGCTTTGCAATATCTGCATGATCTCGGATTGTACACAGGGATGTAAACCAGCAAATGTTCTTGTAATATTCCTCCATGCTCCTGATTTCCTATTTGATTAATAATTTTCCCTTTGTTATTGCTAAATGTGGATAAATAATTTTAAGCTGAGTGGATCTTAAGCTTCAAGATATGTAATTATGATAAAAGTGATGCAGCTTGACAGAAACCTTTGTCCACACCTGGCAGACTTGGTTGCAGAGTACCAGAGAAATCTTAAAGCAGTTTCTATTGAGAATTGGAGATCATCTGGAAAGCCAACTGGTGGTTTCCATAAAAAATATGGTTGGCACACTCATTTATATGCACCTGAGATATTGAAGAAGGAGGTTCACACTGAAAAGTCAATGTCACAGCTTTGGAATCTTGATCAAGTAAGAATTTGAGATAGGTTTTTGGTTTGTGCTAATTCTAACTAGCAAGGCATCTGTCAATTGGACAGAAGGACAGAAAATGGGTGGAGTGATTTCTTAAATTGTTGTTTGTTTCCTGGAATAAAATGTTTCGTTGGAACTTGCTTTCTCTAGTGAAATCCTTATTTTAGTGGATAAGTTTTGGTAGACATTGTTAATCTGTTGAAAGTGTTGCATTTAATTGGGATCATATATTTAACTTTACCTTTTTTAACATGTTTAAAGTAGACTTCGGTGGCTGACATCCGTAAACAGTTGATTGTCCAGAAATCTTTTGAATGGATAGATGCTAAGTGGCCAAAATATTGATGTGCTGATAAGAGTGTATCTTTTATTGGAGCCATCTCCGTACTAGTTTATGAGTTGGCTAGACCTTTACATGGCTATGGTTATCATATAGCAATGTGTTTGGATACCATGCAGAGAAGAGAAAATATTTGTGTTATTGTGGGACATCTTAGCATAAATCTACAAATACATCAGCGTTTTATGGTTAATTCTCTGTTCATATAAATCAACTAGAGATTGATCAATTTAGGGTTTGGTGTGGGAATCTAAGTCACCAGTTATTGATATCAAATTGTGGCACATGTTGCTTTTTCAAATATTGATAGTTGTATTGAATATATTTTTACCTTGTAAGCCTGATAATCATCATTTGCTTTACAAATGCTTTTATGTATATTTATCATTTGGCAATAGTCACTTTTTGATTGCTTTATCAAACATCTGACTGTTCATATATTAAAAGTAGGAGGCATGCTCCCAATGAAATGTTGGTCGTAAGGTTAAACTACGAGAGTGCTTTCAGTCTTTCTTTCTAATGTTTGAAATTGTAAAATTTTGAGGAGTCCAAACCTAATTTTGTATTTTTATGAAACTATGAATTCAGTCACAATAAAAATCCACTCCAGAAGTATTGAGTCAATAGAATTTTCAGTTTATTTTTCTCCTCTAAACATATAATTAGATTTCTATTTTTTTGCAGTGAGCTTCTTACTGGTGTCGTCCCATATACCGATCTTCGTGCAGAGGCTCAGGTCAGTACTTTTTAATCATATTTCACATGTTTTGTTGAATTGGTTAGGTGTTGTGATATTTATATTTGATTACTGGAACGATTTCTTTGTAATCTCCATACTTGTATATATGTAGTCCGAAAAAATGTTAAATCATCACTCTAGTTGGTCAGTTGTTCCATTTTGTTGGTATCTTTTATTGAACTGAGGTGATGCTAAGATTGTACTCTCATACTGGTATTCTGAAATTTACACAACTCAAGGCTCTACTGGAAAGAGCTGAATTGTTGTATTTGATAGTACCATATTTTTATCTTGATAGCTTTGGGCTCTTGGCATATTTGATGATAATCATAATGCCAGGAGTGCAATTGTTACGGCAAGCGCAATGTGACTCAAGCATGTCATTTGTCTATTCAATGATTCAGTGAAAGTAGTTTTGGCTTTCTCCTTTTTCCAAGGGTAACAGAGAAGATTTTACTTCTACTTTCGGAAACATTAGCTAGTATAAAAAAAATATTTATTTGGGGATAGAGGACAACCAACTTCAAATATTTGAAGAGACCAAATTTGTATAGAGACCAACTTAGGGTTTGATTTAATGTATTAGTATATATATAAGAAAAAAATGCATACTCATGGCGAGCTTTAAGAGTTTCAACTTGACTTTCTCCTGCCCCTCTCCCGTATATTGATGAGGGTTGTATGGGCATGTGTGAGGGGTAATGGATTTACTATTGACAAATAATCACAGGAGTCTTCATCAAGTAGAGTCTGATCTTAAAATTTTTCTTTCCTCTTTTCTCCTACCCTTTCCTGTCATTTAATGTGAAGGAGTTAATTTTGCATGGTTTTAAGATTAATCATTTATTCCGTCCATTGAAAATTATCAGCCAGGTTTTCTCTTCTTATTTTACATTATCCATCCTTAAGCCATGGCTGATATTCTGTCCTAGTTTGAAGTCTAATAATTCCATTTTAATACCAATGCGATTCTTGCTAAGACCTTACTGTTTCATGCTTCTCATGTTATACTTCATTTGCAAACATTAATTCTACATATTCAAAGCAAGCAAAACATGCACATGACAATCATCCTATTTATGAGATTAGCCTCATTCTGGCTTAAAAATGTTTTAGAATATAATTCTGTTTCTGAACATAAAAAAATTTCAGTCTCTGTGTCTGACATGTTTCATTTTCATTATCTGATAGTAAAATAATTTCTCAATGCTGGTGATCGCTTGTTGATGCATTACATGTATACTGCTCGCTGTCAGGCCCACACTGTTCTGGAGATGAACTATACGGAGCAGCAACTTACTGCTGCTGTGGTTTCTGAGGGACTGCGACCTGTTCTTGCTGGTCTTGAGTGGGATGTGCCTGCAAGTTTACTGTCATTGATACAAAGTTGTTGGGATTCAAACCCTCAAAACAGACCTTATTTTTCTGATATAGTTAAAGAACTTGATCTAGTTTTGGAACATAGAAAAAGTCTGATGGAAGAAGATCTGATCACCGGCAAAACCTCTGTTTCTTATGATGATAAGCTCATGAATGGTATTGATAGTGTGCCAACTTATCAGGAGAGTATTAACTGGTCTGTTCAAGGAGAAAATTCCTCCAAGAGGGTTTCTCATGCAGCTGATTCTGATACGAGAATTTGGCTTGAATCTGCAAATGATGCTTTGACTTACTTTCCTGTACTTTCTTGGGGGTCCTTTGCTACATGTGGCAGAAGGGAGACTATGGAGGATACACACTTTCTCATCCCCCGAATGTGCAAAGAAAAGGACATCCATGTTTTTGGCATCTTTGATGGTCATAGAGGTATTTTTAACGTTAACTTTTATTACTGAGAGTGAGCTGGCACCAAACTCTTAGGATTTTATTTTGATCATCATTAGTAGTCTTTTAATGTCATGACCATGAGACTGATTCATTTTATAATCTGTTTGGAAACCTTTTTTCAGAGTGGTGTTCATAGAAGAAAAGATATAAATTAAAAAAGGTCTCAACTTGCCTTTCCGAAAAGCAAGATTTTTTTAGTTTCAAATATTATTTTGATATAAGTGATTTCAAAGTACCAATGTTCTTATTTTCTCATTCATTGTCTATTTCCTAGTAACCTAATTCTAATTTCTGGTTTCAATATAATGGAATGGCTGTCACCATGTAGGCTCAGCAGCTGCTGAGTTTTCAGTTCGAGCTTTACCAGGATTTTTGCAAAATTTAGGTTCCACAAACAGGTTTCCTCTGCTCTGGGTTTTCCCCTTTCCATCTTTGTGCTTGTTGTATAAATGCTTTAAATAATGCATTTCTATTAACTATGCAGCCCTGCTGAAGCCTTGCTGGAAGCATTTGTTAGAACAGATGTTGTGTTTAGAAATGAACTCGATTCTTGTCGTAAATCCAAGAGAGTTGTTCAAAAAGAGTGGCATCCTGGTTGTACTGCTGTTGCTGCTCTAATAGTCAGAAACAGGCTTTTTATTGCTAATGCTGGTGACTGCAGGGCAATTTTATGTCGGAGTGGCCATGCTCTTGCTTTAAGTAGGGTGAGCAAGAGCTTGCTTCCGTAAATTAAATTTACTTTTGTGTCTTACTATCAGGAGTTTCTACCTTAAAACTGATTGACTTTGACATGCCAGGATCATGTTGCAAGCTGTCTTGAGGAGAGGGAACGTGTTGTTAGTGCAGGTGGACATGTTAAATGGCAAGTTGATACTTGGAGAGTTGGTCCTGCTGCACTCCAGGTTATCCTCTTTACCTTCGAAGATCTTTTATTAGAGTGACAATAAATGCCATTCTTCAAGTAAATATATTATTCCACTGTTTCGGCAAATTGTTATCGATTTGTTGAATAATCTTTATAATTATTCCATATAATGTATTTATAGTGTGTTGCCGTTAGAGAGTTGGAGTGAAATGTTGTAGTGGAGACAACTGAATATTTTATTGGCAGAACTTAGGTCTATGCAGATCTTGCTTAGAACAACATTTTTCTAATATGGTTTTGCAGTTTCTTGTCTTCATGAATAGAAGAACCGTTTGAGCAGTACTAATTTTTATTATTTCTTTTTAACTTAAAGAGGTTGAGTGCTTTATCATCCAATCTTTTTCTTTCAACAGGTCACTCGCTCTATTGGTGATGATGATCTGAAACCTGCTGTGACTGCTGAACCCGAGATAACTGAAACTATATTGTCACCTGAGGATGAATTTCTGGTAAGAACTTGAACTTGAGATGCAATTTACAAAGTTGAATTTTAGATAAGTTGATATTAATTGACATTAAGTGTAAGGCAGAGAGCTAAAATATTTCTTGCATGTCAAGCATATAGTTATTATATTATTCTTTATTTAAAATAGATAGGTTGTCAATTCTTGCATCGACGTTAAAAATAGAAGTTATATAAGGTTTTTTTTTCTAAGAAGAAATAACTTGAGGTTGATTGTTAGGTAATGGCTAGCGATGGGCTCTGGGATGTTTTGAGCAATGCAGAGGTTGTGAGCATAATCAGGGACACAGTTAAAGAGGCAGGAATGTGCTCCAAGAGATTGGCAACAGAAGCTGCGGAACGCGGCAGCAAAGACAACATCACAGTCATTGTTGTCTTCCTGAAGCCGGTATCTACTGCTGAGAGAGTATACTAAGTCAGAGTTACATTGTTTCCACCTCTTAATGCAAGTTTTCTGAGTATTCAACTGATGGGAATGAGGGCCCTAAATGTCAAGGGTATGTATATTTTTTCTCTTTGCTTTATTTAGTGATTAGTATATTGTTTATATGTGTTGACTTCCTGCATTTTGGGAAGATTTGAACTTGTAAATCTTATTTGTTTCCATTGATTGAACATGAAAATAACTTCTTCCCATTCTTTATTAATACTATATTACTCTTCAGATATTCAATTGTTAAGATGTTAACTACAAATAAGAACAGTAAGAGCCTCTTTAATTTCTCATAATTCATACCACTAATTCCTGGTGTGACTTCTATTTCCTTTATTAGATGGTATGATTGTATTTCTTATTTTGGATTTTGGATTTTATGATCCATGATAATTTCTAAAGTATTTAAACTTCTGGTACTTTATTTTAATTGGTTTTCATGTGAATCTAAACATGATTATGAATGTATTAATGTATAGTATGTTGTCATTACATGCCATTTCTGTCATCATACCGACCCAAATCTGTTAGGATTGTTTCTTTGACAGGCAGGATTTTTAAGATCTTTTTTGAATTCTTTATCCCCTTATGCATCTCAAATTTATCAAAAATAATTAATCAAAAGATATGATTGAATAATCTAAGAACAAATTTATTAATTTGAAAGTCATTTGATCGATTTATTGATGAAGAATTCCCAAAGATAAAAAATTCCTAAGAATGATATACTCCTAAATGTCGTATCAAAAGGAAAACAAATGAAAAAATAAATAAATAAATAAATAAAAGTCTACTAATAATATATCCTCATATGCTTTCAAGGAATGAGGAAGCATCACCCCATTTAAACCCTCTTTCTGATATGTTTTTGGTTGGACTACTTTGATTACTCTATATATCCTCCTAATTAGGTTCGAGCACACCTATTCCAGGTTCTTTTGTACTTTCAAAGACCATTTTGAGGATTAGATCTCCCATTTTGAAACTTTTTAGTTATACTATGTATATGTAATATCGAACTGCCCTTTGTTTATAAGACAGGCGTGCTTTCTCATCTTCTACTAAATGTTCAAACTTGGTTGCTCATTTTCTTTTGGTTGGAGTTGAGTTCAATGGTATTCCAATTTCTATGGAACTACTGCTTCAGTTTCAATGTTTGCTATATGTTTTGGTTGGCCTTACATGGTCTAGTATGACTAGCACACTAGGGTTAAGTTAATAGATTTCTTGGTTGGTCATTTATGAACTAGTAGGACTTGTTGGCTTTGCTATGCTTGTAGAATTCTTGATTGGTTGTGTTTTGGTGGTCTAGTTATCAACTCTAGAACTTGTAGGCTTGTAGATTTCCTAGTTGCTATGCATGATTTAGTGAGAGTTCTTGATCATGTATGGGTTCAAAGAATTTTTGAGTTGCCATATATGGTCCGGTAGACTCGTTCATCATGCATGAATTTTGATTGAACTTGTTGATTGGACTTTCGTGGTAGTATATTTTTCCTAAATAATCTTGTATGAACAACCATTTTAAACCAAAAATTATTTGGAGTATATATATATATAGGAGTTTCTTGATATTTACAAGAGGTTATTTTTTAATAATCTTAAGGGGTATATAATACTTTTCAATAACATTAGATGGGTTCATAGTAAGCGATCTAATAGAGGGGAAATGAAATAAACCATCTGAATCTAAAAATCTATACATAGAAACTAATCTTCCCAAGTCATAATCGAGTCCAAATACGTTGAAACTTGAGTTGTTAGATGATGTATCTGAAGAACTGTCATTCAAATATCCTTTTCTGGACACTCGAAAACTCATCAAACTTGGTTTTTCTCAGTCCTTTACCATTTAAAGGCCATTCAAATTTCTTTTTTTGGTAAATAGCCATTCAATTTTCAGTAACTTGTAGTCAGATATCTTTCCATTTATTGAAGATACAAAATTTCACTTGCCTCTCTATAAATACTGTCATCTCTCTTTGTTCAATATCAGAAGTTCAATCACAACTTATACGTTCCAAAGTTGTTTAGAGTTGAGAGTTGCAATAATGTCGGAAAGAGTTTCATGTTACGACAAAATGAAAGGAAAAGTCGATCAAGAAGCTGTTTCAGAGTCTGCAGGATTAGATGATCACTCTCTCGACTTAAGGCTTATCAACAACGATCAGTTTGATCGTCCTGCATCGAAGTTGGAACTTAACTTACTTGATCGCTTAGATGCAGGCTTTTCGAAGGTGTTGGAGTCTTCTGAGCATAAGAATCATATGAATAAGAAAGAGAAGATGAGATTCTTCATCTGCAAAGTGTGCAACAAGAAGTTCTCAAAATCTCAGGCATTAGGGGGGCACCAAAATGCCCACAAAAAAGAACGGGCAGCCATGAAAAGAGGGAAAGTACTTGACAATTTGGTCCGTTTTGTTCAGCCAACAGCCTGTCATTTTTACCCATATTCACCCATGGCTGCTGCGCCAGGACCAGGTTTCTCTAATCAGTATGGCTCATTTGAGAGACCTCTTGGGGTTCAACTCCACTCTTTGATTCATAAACCATTTCATGCATTATCTCAATCTCGATGGTCTCGACCGGAATTTGCCATGCAAAGAGCAGGTGATTATCTGGTTCCTCCAGGTGGGAGAGGATTTCAAGTTCAGCATAAGAATCCGTTTGGGATGTTTGAAAGTTCCTTAAATGGGAATGGGATGTTTGGAAGCTCATTACTTGGAAATTCAGAAGCTGGAACTAGCAAGTTTGGTGGCTCTGGAGGGCTTAATTTATCACTCAATCTCTAATTCGATTTAATAATGACTTTTTCTTGGGCTTTAATGTTGATTAAATGATGATGGTTTTCAGTTGTTGAATTTGTGGTTTTCTTTAATAAAATGAATGATTTGCTATTCCATGTTTTATCATTTATGACAAGAAAAATAATATGAAAGCAATGAAGAATGTTAGACGATTGGGAGTTTTTTAGAAGTAATTTTAAGGCTTAAAATTCAATTTAAATGTTTCAAGCAGTAAAGATTAAAATTTGGTTCTGGTACATAGATAAAATGAAACTTATTTATTGAAACATGAATGGAAAATTATCTCTATATCTTATAAATTGGGGAAAAATAAATTTTAAGCATGCCCCCATTTGAGCTCCGACTCTAGCCGCTACTGTCAAATTCATAACTTGATTGTGAAAGCGTCTTCAACAAGAAACTTTTCACTTCCAGCATAAGTCACCCCCCATTTTCTTCTCCTTGAAGCCTCTGTTTCTTAAATAATCGGGTAACAATAATATTATCCTTACAAAGAAATCTTATAAAGATTTTCATACAAAATGAGGTGACAAAAAATGAATAAAAGAGTGAAATAAAAAGTGAAACACATTAAATTCACTCTTCTATTTATTTTTTGCCGCATCACTTTGTACGGAGATTTTTGTAAAATTTCTTTATAAGTGTAGTATTACTCTAAAGATAAATATTTTATACCTCGGATGCGTTTGACACATTATTTCTACCCATATTCTCAATCCTATTTCTAAAATATTGTTTGACACATTATTTGAGAAATATTAGTATATTTTTTTAATTACTTTTAGACCTCTTAAGTTTATTAATTTCATTAAATACCCTCAGAAAAAAAAATTTAAAAATTAACAAAAACACCACACCCACCCATATTTGCCAGATTCCGGCAACCACCGTTGGTGGTAGCTGGAATCTATAACAACGGCCTACACCACCAACGGAACTGGCCGGTAATTCACCGATTTGGCCGTTAGCGACGACCAAAGAAATGGTCGTCGTTGACGATCAACGACGTGATAGCCAAATCCGTGGTGGATCTGGTCGGAAAAGGCCATATCAACGCCCTACCCGTCAGATTCGATCGGTCTGTGTCGTAACGCAATTTTTCGGCCAGATTTCGACGGTGGTGGCCAGAATCTGGCACTGCGGGTGGTGGGGGTGTTTTTGTCATTTTAAAAAAAAATTATATATGGGGGTGTTTAGTTAAATTAGCAAACCTAGGAGGTTTTTTTTTTATAAATTTTTAAATTTTACCTCGTAATACTCCCCTATTCAACTATCTAATATTATTCCTAAAATCCTATCAAAAATAATAAAACAAACGGACCCTCAATTCCCGAATCTCATTTATTCTATCTTCTTTCCTTTTAGTTTGAATTGGGGTCCCGTTTTCTATTCTAAATATTGAAACGTTTTATATTCCTTTAAGTTCTTTAAGTTTTTCTTTTTCTTCTTGTAGAGTTTGGATGGACGAAAGTAGCGGCTCCGCTGTCAGGACTAAACCCAAGGAGGAGACTGGAGAGCAAAATTCAACCAACATGACATACATATAGATGTGAACGAATTGTAAATTTCTTTCAAATGCAAAATATCAATTCCGCAAATAATGAATTGCTTTCTTGATTGTCTGTTATTTTATTTATGAATGTATATCTATAATTGTGTGAAGACTTTGAATTATATATTCTTTCTCGTAGTGCGTATCTTTTTTTCTTGATTGAGAAGTTGAGAATTCTGTGCCAAGTAAGATGTGATTTTTGAAGATTCTCATAATTTTCGAAGCACAATTCCATTTTTATTTTTTTTAATCCTTCAAAGTTCCAGACTCTGAGTCAAGTGCGTATGGTTAAATTCCTGGACTTCAACTGAGAAACAATTTTTTTTTTTTAATTGTATTTTGTCAGTTTTTGAAGACTTTTGTGCGTCGTCAGAACGGGGCAGTTTATTAAAAAGGTTTGAAACTTTTGGTGTGATCAAACGGGGCAGTTTATTAAAAGGCCTCCGAATTTTATATTTAATTAAGAGGCTCAAGTTTTAAAGTATTAACTAAATAGTCATATTATTGATTAGGGTATTAGTGCTTAATTAGGATTAATGAAATATTATGCATTTTTTTCAAAATTATACTAATTCCCACAAACCTGAAATTGTTGCAAACAAACCCAAACCTTCTTCTTCCCCCGCCATTAACGCATCTCTACCTCTACATCTTCTTCTCTTCTTCTTAGCTTCGTCTACATCTTCTTCTTCCTCTACATCTTTTTTTTCCTCATTCCTCTATATCTTCTTGTTCCTCCGCCATTAACACTTTCTTCTTCCTCCACCATTAACATCTTCTCCGCCAAAGATCCCCCTCCCCTCCTCCTGACATTTCTTCTAAGTATGTGTATCTCTTTTTTACATTTTATATTTAGATTTACAAAGATTTAATAATGGATGGGGTTTGGGTTATGATTTTGATTTAGTTGTTAGTTGTTGGGTTTGTTTTGATGTAATGCAAGTTGAAAGGAGTGAATTTTGAAAATTTATTCTGGGTATGTGTTTCTGGGTATGATGGAATCGATTGTAGGTGGAGATGACTAAATGTGTTTTGGGTATGATGGATCGCTTAAGCGATCTGGTAGGTCTGGTAATGTAGCAGATAGATCGCTTAAGCGATCTGGTAAAAGTCTGGTGTATAGGAGCAGATCTTTAAGCGATCAGTAATGGCATAAATCGGTTAAGTGATCATGGTTATTTATACTGATCGCTTAAGCTACGGCAGACCATATAAGCGACTGTGCAAATTCTTTTTAAAATATTTGAACCCTTAGTACAGCATTTAAGATTTTTTTTTTTCTTGCATTTAGGTAGTTGGCTATTATTCACACATGGGACAAGTTGTTTTGGTGTGTTGAATATTTAGTGATGGGTGGAGGAAGAACTAGCTGGGAGTGGATTGGGAAGAGCAAAGAATTATACCAATTGCTGTGAGCACAGAGGTTAGTTTTGATGAGTTGATTGATGAAATAATTAGAGAGGTAATTGAGTTGCTTGCGTAGTGATATAGTTGTGAAGTATGTTTTAAGCAAGTTCCTGAACATTATAAGATACCTCCTGCTATATTAAGTCGGATAAAGTGTGAGTTATATATGATTGATGTGCCGATAATGGTTCAACCGATTTTAAGGGTTTCTTTGTAAAAAACCGTTCGAAGTTGGTTCAAAGGAAGGGGATAACAGGAGTAGGCGAGATTTGCCTGGTTTTAATTTGAACTATGAGGCCATGGATTTGTTGTTAAAAATCAAGAGTAGACAGTGAATTGGGTGGTGAGGAGGAGACTATAGAGAGGTTGATGATGGGGCCATGAATGAAATGTTGAGGAGGGGACCTCGTAGATGTTCCCACAAGATGTAGAGATTCCTTTAAATACAGATTATGCAGAAGCGTAGATTGTGACGAAGAGAACACCATGGTCGTTTATGTAGTTTCAGAGAGGCAATTGGAGGTAGTATGAATCAGCTCATGTTTTTACGGATGGATCGAGTTGCACATAGGGTATTTATTTGACAACAAGAGAAGTGTTGAGGAAGCTAAAACTTGTTGCCGTGAGAGGTAATTTTGAGTTCTTCACCACAAAGTAAAATTCATTGGCTGTGACAGTATGTCATGACCGAAAGTGCAAGTGCGGATTTTTGTAGAAGGTTGGCGAGTCGGAAAATTTATTCTTAGCACATATACCCATGAGCACACTTGTGGTTTGGGACATATTTCAGGTGAGCATCGACAAGCGTCCGCTGATGTTTTGATAATTTTGTCAAAAGTCGGTTCATTGAGGGAAAGGTCCATCTCCTAAAGACATTCAAAGACTTGTGCGCACAGAGTTGGATGTGTATTAGTTACTGGAACGGCTGAAAGGGGACACAACATGCACAAGATTTTGTAGGGGCACGCCAGACACGGGTACGCAGTATTAGAAGCGCACCGTTATATGCTTGAGTTGACAAACCAAGGTTGTAAGACGCTTTGAAGTGGGATAGAATATGATGTTTAAATATTTTTTTGCTGCTTACGGTTCTGCATAAGGGGCTTTGTAAACATGAGAAAGGTGTTGGCTGTTGATGGTTGCATTCTAACGAAAAGTATGAGGTACTTGTTGGTGGCCACTGCATGGATAGTGAATCACACATATCCTGTTGCATGGTGTGTGGTTGACTCTGAGAATGACTAGTCGTGGACTTGGTTTTTTCAGCATTACGTACGATAGTGCCTGACACTGACGAGTTTTGCATAATATCTGATAGACACAACTCTATAGGAAAGGGATTGTCATTATTTACCGTCAAGCACATTACGATTCTGTATGAGCACCTTGGTGAGAACATAAAACAAAAGTTTAAGTGTGCTGGCCTCCTTCGGACATACTCATGTAGCAAAAGCCTATCGGGTTGATGCGTTCGAGGAGCACTTCCAGCAAATCCGAATCAAGGATGATAGAGTTGCTGTCTTGAGCATGATGTTGGTTTCAAGCGATAGAGTAGAGCTACTTTCCTGGAAGAAGGTTTGATGTCATGACCACGCACGACATAGCCGAGTTCATAATTCGAAGTTGTTAATGAAAAAGAGTTTCCAATTGCACTTTTGATGCATCAAAGGACACTATCGCGGTGGTTCCATGAGCGTCGTACGGAGTCAATAATTTTACTACCCCCTTGTTCCGTCAGCTGAAAAATTATTGTGAGAATATGGACCGTCAAACGCACTGTTTGCCTATCCTCTTAATGCCAAGAGTTCACTGTGCGCGGCTATGGTCCGGATGCTCTAGTTACCTTGTTAAAAACTTGCAGCTGTAAAGTTTTGACATTCAATGTTTACCTTGTCCTCATGCACTAGTAGCCACTGAAACACCAACGGAAGCCAGATTTTGGTTCAAGAATTTACATAGCACTTTGCTCCCCTCTCTATATGACAGATCACTAAATGCTAGCTTATTCATAAACGATATATCCGTGCCTCCAGAAGAGCAGTGGGTAGTGCCGCCAGAGATGGCTAACATTATCATCCACCCGC